CTGTTTTTAATATGGATACCAGCTTCTAAGAAAATTTCAAAGCATTTAAATCTAACACTTTGGAATCAAAGAAAGTTAGAGTTTTGGCTATGAAATGCTCTGGTTTTTGAAAACAGGTACCAAATCTCTAAAAGTAAAAACAAGCCATCTGCAATCACATTGTCTTTCTCTTGGCCTTTAAACTGTCTTGAAATAATTAAAAGTGATTTCTAGATAATTGGAAAATGCAGGTGTTATTACAGTTACAGTTAATGTTTATCTGCTCCATATGAATGAGCTGCAGTAATCAGACTATGCCCTGGTTTTTTCTTCACGTATTGGGTACATAAGACCCGCCGTTGGAAAAGCACCATAAATTATAAGACGAGTTGCTGAAAAGCATTGAGTTGACACGTGGCTTCTGCAACACAGCTTTTGTGGCAATTCAAATATCTTTAATGTTGATACTAACCCTGAGTCTGTGCTCTACTTTGATGATGCTGCAGTTGAGGATGGAGGGCTCCACATCCTGAGGAATGGCGATGACCTGTGTGACGTTTTCTGAGGCTTTAGGAGGGATGGGTCTTCCAACCTCTTTAATGAGGTCTTTTGTGTGAACTCTTCTCCTTCCCCGGGCAAAGAAGCTGTGCTTCCGGTATATGCAGTATTTGGGCTTGATCTCACGAGATGAATCGTTCTTAATGAAGGCCTTAACTTTTAATCCTTCCCCTGTGAGAAAAAGAAAATGGTCAGAGTAGCTGGTATAAGAACATTCCAGAATTGCTGTCATTGTCAAATATAAAAGTGTCTCACCTTGGAAAAAGCCTGACTTTTCAAGATTTACATCCATGGCAACAGTTCCTGAGGTGAAAAGTTTCATTTTCTTATCCATAGTTTCATGTTGGGGTTCCTACAAGACAGCTCAGGTAGTAAATGCAAGTAGAAAACAAGTAGAAACCTTAAACACCATAACAGTCTTCTGAATGTCTGTAAAGTTGGGACATATATGTCAAGGGGCCGGCAACATAGTTAACATGCATTTAGGTCAGGTCAGGATCTAAAATACAAAGGGCACAAAGTGATCACTTTCATGCTAACACTTTTAGTTAAGTGAAAAATTAATGCCTATCATTTGTAGCGTTCTACAGTCATTAGGTTGGTAGCACTCAAAGCATATACTGGCAAACTTTTAATGTTGTGTAAATGTATAGTAAGTAAAACCGAGGTGAATAACCATAGACCTATGATTGTACAATTGGATGAGTTCATATTAAAAGGATGTGGAATGTAGAAAATGCCTTTTATTTTAGAAGATATTGCTAAAGGCATTATGTGGGGTGGGAAAGGGTGGGGAGGTTTGGGGGGCTACATTAAATCATCTTTAATTGCTCCTGACATCCAAAGAGACAGAACATGGCACAGATGTCAAAAATACCATTAATCCAGGAACTGGGTTCAGGTCTCCTTTTGCCACAAAGTTGATCATGGTTGATTCTTTGCTGTCCATCTTCATCGACCTGCTCAGAACAGCCTCCAGCAAGTACACAATTTTACCGTCTGCACCTTTAAAGGTGGAGGGAATATTCCTAAGGAGGAAAAACATGGAGACAGATAACAGTGAGAATCACTTTTTGTTCTTATTTTTTTTATAAATGGTGTAATGAAAGACACGTTTAACAGTGGTATATTAATTCAAGTTCCTTATTTAACCCCACCACAACATAATGCATATGTAGAACAGTGTAACCTTAATAATAACTTAAAAAACAACAATAATTAGAATTGATTCTTACTGGAGAGGGAATTGAAAGGAGAATGGATACACATGGATACCTGGAGGCACAACGTTGGAGTCTAAGAAGAAATAAAAAACATAGAAGTGTAACAAAAGAATAGAAAAAATAAGAAAAAACATTTCATTTTCCTTTGTGGGGCTTTGGGATGGACTTCCAGATAAAATCTAATTTAAGCTCTGAAGCTCTCATTTAAACCAACACATATAAAGCTTTTCTAAACTGGACGCATGTCCTAACAAAATGTGCGTTATTATTACAAAAAGCAAAGTTAGACCACTGGCATGTTTTCATTGTAATAAAAGAAGAAAAAAAACGCCTGACAGAGAAATACAAAGACTTACAAGTTTCTCCACTTTGGTGTGCAATCAAGGATTTCTGGTCATCTGCAGACAAACAGGAATTACAATGCAACAAATGAAACCAGCTTGACCCAGAAAGTCAGTATTTAAAATAAATATTTTTAACGGCATAAAACAAAAAACAAAAACTGTTTTATGAATATTTCACAGTGTGACCTGTTATTATAAACAATCCAGAACATTGTGCAAAACATTTTAATGTGAGAAACAAGTGATTCATTCTGATCATTCCTGTTCTCTGGATACAGCTGGGTCACTACTTCCATGTGAAACACATGTTGAATATTTGTTAACAAAGTTGTTAATAAACTCTCCTCTTAACTTTTTTTTTTTCTTTTAGCTTCAGCCATATTTAAAACGGATCATAGCTTTCATCTGCAATATCAGCAGCTTCATTTATGGAACATCTGATATTCTTCTATTACAAATTATGTTTATATCACTATTATTTAGCTTGGTTTTTAACTGCTGATTTTGTACAACATTTTTACTTGTGTTGTGTGATTTATGCATTGTTATTTACAATGTAATGCAAAGCACGTTGAAACCATGTTTATTAATTATTATTATTATTATTATTATTATTATTGTTGTTGTTGTTGTTGTTGTTGTTGTTGTTGTTGTTGTTGTTGTTGTTGTTGTTGTTGTTGTTGTTTTTATTGTCAGGGCAAAATTGTTGACGCTTAGCTCTGCGCTTATCATTTCAGGGCGGATCAAAGGAGAAATAGCGCCTCCTAAAGTTACAATAAATGATGGTTCCGAGAATTGGTTGCATGGTTCATGTTAGCCATGATTTAAACATGAGGAAAATAGAGCTACCTTTAAAAGTTTCTTCCCATCCATTTTGAGTAACAAAAAGAAATAAAACTAAAAGCTCTTATTTTGTGTCTTAAAATAAAATTGAACAAATTATTTATTTATTTATTTATTTATTTATTTATTTATTTATTTATTTATTTATTTATTTTTGGTTGTTTGTTTTGTCATCTTTGTTTCTCAGAAGAAAATTCAATCAAATTATGCATGGACCTTTGATTTCAACGACTGGCTACTACTTGCTACTTTTTCAGTTTTGAACTTCTTCCTGCAGTGAAACCCAGAGAAATAAGCCTTACCCTTGCTGTTTGGGTCTCTGATGAAGTACTGCCGCACGCTGAAGTATTTATCTTTGGCGTGGTACGAATAAGTGTTCTGACCATAGGTCTCCGTCCAAAAGACGTCAGCTTTCCCCTTAAACTTGATGTAGAAGGAGCTGATCTGGCAATCCTTGGCCGCTTCCACAGAAACTTGACCAGAAACAATGTCTCCGTTTGTAAAAGTATTGCTGGCATTGATGGAGTTATAAGTGATTTCTACCTTCTTTATTGTCGACGACATCCTGACAGGATTTACGCACCGAGGTCGACAGCAGGTGAGGAAACCTGACACTAAAAGCAGGCGTCTCTCTCCACCTACAGTAGGAGGGCGCGTCTGTACAGCGAAGAGGATTGGTTTGATTTATGTGCGAAAGCAAGCTTTAGCAGTCAAATCTAGGACATATTATTTTGCATTTATTGGTCAATACTTTCCAACATGTCTCAAATATTATCTTATCTTCATACAATAAAAACTTTCCATGTGATAAAGATCTCCATATGGTTCATCAGCCTCTACATAGTATTGTGAAATTGTATTTTTTTAATGACCTGCCCTTAACAGGTCATATATAACCACAGCTGCTATGTTCCTAAAATCAAGAGCTACAGATTTTGTACATTAAATGTGTGTTCATGGTAATGATTGAACATTTGCTGTAAACTTGATGTATATTCATTAGTGTTTAATGACTTGCTTAATTCATCTCCAATACTTTGGCATTTGAAAGTAAATTGTATGAATGTTTGTGAGTCAATCTAAACAGGGTCTGGATTTTGAATGAGGAAACGGCTTCCAATGGCTTTGCTTACATTATTAGAAATTAAAAGTTGATTTAATGTCTGACCATAGAGAAACGTATGTAATTTCATTAATGAACTAAGTAATTTTATTATTTGTTTTTAGCTGCTCGAGTAAGTGGAGATTTTTCAGAAAAGAGTGCCTTACAATTTGAACTTTTCTAATATTTTAACTTTAATCTCTTAGGTGTTTTAATGACAATTTATGGGTGGACTAAGAAAATTGGGAGAAAAGAGATAGGCTACATATTTAAACTTGTGGCATGTCCATATTTGTATTCATTCTCCTTTACTACAATACACTTATAAAATAGATTGAAAGCTCTAATGCGGTGGCATATGTCATAACTACCATATATTTAAAAATACAGAATGGTAAGCAATTTCACAGAAACAACTATCCTTATATATTAGTTTAGAAGAAGGTCTTTACACTAGCAAACATGACGACACAGCAAACAAAAGGTGTGCAAGGCAAGATAATAAAGTCAGCGATTTTATGTTCTAAGGTGTGCCGGAAAATAAAGATACAAACACTTTGCTAATATTTAAACCACATTACCTTCGTAAATCATGCTAGAGAAACTGAATGACACACTAATGAGCATGCATAAAGTGCATAAAACCAAAATTAATTTTGAGCAGAATTCCTTTTTTCCACTACGATATATTATTTATATGCAACTTTTTAAAACAGTTGCATATAAACAACTGCTTTTAAAAGTTGTCAAAACTGATTGTTCCTGTTATGAAGTCGCCTGCAGAGAACGTGTTTCTCTCATCAAAGCTGATGCCGAAATTCTTGATCGTATCTTGAAACATCGTCAATCACGAAGTTGCGCGGACAGTGGGAAATTTGTAAATTTTAAATTTCACGAGTTTCTCGGTAAATACTAAAACTGTAAAGGGAAGAGTTAACTAAATTACGTTCAAAACAGACAACGGGGAGAACATCTGAGCAACATCCTGGCAGGAACCGCCTTGTTATGAGGCGGAGCAAATTCCCAGCCACCCATAACTTGATCCCGCCATAGTATTTTTTTCTAAAAAAACAAACAAACAAGGAAGGAAGGAATATGTAGAAACCTGTCCTTGTAGAATATGTTTCTACAAGGACAAAAACAATTTGAAAATACAGATTCAGTATTTTCAAAACTGAATCTATTTAAAAATGTTCAAAAAAGGCAGAGTGGAGAACTGGAAAGGGGGTGTAGTCAGAGTTCATGGGAAGATGAAGTCTGACTACAGACCAACCCTGGAGGAAACCCAGCTAAGTCTTGGGAATAAGGAAGTTTTAAGGTTTTCTCTCTTGACCGTCTTGATGTTATTTATTAAAAGACAACATTGGAAGTATCAGCAGGGATATAGTTAGCATTTTTTTTTAAAAAAGTACTTTATTTATTTCCAATGTCCAACAATTAAAGGTAGTGTAACATTGCATTCATAATCTTAAGCCAAAACAGCCTTTTTCATGCACCTGTATTAGACTGTACTTTATAAAGTACAGTTTATTTTAAACTGTCTATACTGAGTTTACAAGAAGTTATACCTTCTAAATTAAGTAGTTAGATTAGTTGTCTTGTATTTGGAAGGATGTAGGTTCATTCCCACATCCATATGTTGATGTGCCCCTGGGCAAGGCACACCCGAGCAGGAATGCCCCAAGTTGCCTTTGGTGTGTAAATGAGTTTGTGAGTGTAATTTGGTGAATATGGCTGTTGAGCCATATTCACCAAGTAAGTCATACTTACTCCTCATAGTTATGAGGAGTAAGTATGACTGGAAAAGTGCTAAATAAATTCAGGCCAAACCTTCAAGTTATTTTAAATAAAAATGGTTCACACTGTGTTTTAGAAGATCTGGCTTTAATTTATAATAATTCAGATGGTTTTCACAAATATTCAAATGTTTTTTTGTTTGTTTTTTTTGTTTTTTTTAAGTTTGGACTGATCATAGGAACTCCAGATTTATTATGAAGTGAAATAAACATTCACTCCAGCTACTGCCCTGAAGCTAACTTCAGCAGGGTCAAACAGACACTTAATTTTATTATTTGTCCATAATAATGCTAATACTACTAGGAGTATTACTATCACTAATACTACAACAACTAATAATAATAATAATAATAATAATAATAATAATAATAATAATAATAATAATAATAATAATAATAATATTCAAAACTGAAGTATGTTAAATTATTTTCTGTACTTGTTTGACTCTTCTAAAATCAACCACTAGATGGCCCTAAACACTTAGATACTATCATACATGATAGTATTGATGGTCTATTTCAGGATTAGACCAGAGCAGTGTTTTAACACACTGATTTGGCACAATACATCTGTTGGTACGGGTTTCTATAAATCTTGATTGTACTTGAAGTTAGTATCTTTACAGTGACACTCTGCTGATCTGTTGAGTTTACCTCCTGTCTCTTTCTCAGCCAGAACAAAGTCCAGCTGTTTGTGATAAGAACAAGACGAAGCTGACCTAGAATTTTTTTTAAAAAAGCGTATGGACATACAGCAGTAGCGTTTGATTGGTACGCTACTACTAACTGTAGTGCAGTTAAGTCGAAAAAGCATTTGCTGTAAAGTTGAAGTTCTGGGTATTAAAAGATTAGATTACTGTAGATTTGATTTTTTTATTCATGACTCAACAACCAAAAATGTTTAGCTTTCATTCCATTCAAATGCACTCAGGACCTTTGAAAGCGAAACAAGCAGCATCACTGATTCTCCTCACTTCCCAAATATTCATCAGTAAAGCACATGGTTCCAATTAGTGCCAATAGATTTTAGAGAACCGTGCACATGTGTAATTGTACAACAGGCGATGTCTTAAACAATACTTATTCTTAACATTTTGACCTAAGCAAATGTTTTAAGAATAAAAACAATGTGACGTCGTGCTGCTGCAATAAAGGACTACTTTTTCTTACCTGCCATGGCAACAAATGTTCCCCATGTCCATTTGGCTTGTGCGGGTTTGTTTCTATGTGTTTGTAGAAAGTGGTTTAATGCATTCTTGTTGCACTTAGCTTCATCACTCTCTGATAATGGCGTCTAGGTCAGCCAACGAGTTTACACCAACCACACACAGACGAATGCACCCATGGTTCATCATCTTCACTTTTAAATGTCCTCATGAAACAGTTGGCTGATCCTGACAGCAGTGACTGGCATTTTCATTGATCCGCCAGGTCCTTGCAACTTGTTTCAGTCATTATTACAAAGCTCACAGTCGCAGCCAAATGATCATCGTAGAGATCCCTCCTTTCGTCACTCCTCGCACTTGATGCTTTTTATTAATATTCAAACTGCATCAGCCATTTATAACCTTGGCCGCTTGTTTTTTCTTCTTCTTTTTTTTCCCCAAGACTGGAGTAAACATTTGAGATAGTTAGATCTAAATCCAGAGTGAAGTAAAAGAACCCAGAGGATAAGCATTTTATTGATCTGTACTTTCTGCACAGCACCTCCCTCCGCTGGTTAATCCACAGGGTCAGCTCTAATGACATTGAGGAGCTCTTCTGGCAGTCGGCACTGCTGCTATTTGCAATTTAGATGGAGAGGAAGGGGGGAGGAGAGCAGGAGGTGGTGGTGGGTTAAAACTGGAGGAAAATGAAGAAGTCTGACAGTGAGCAGCAGTAGGCTGAAGAGAAGAGAGGATGGAAAAGAAAGAGGCGGTAGTGTGGAAGCACTGCAAGAAAAAATACTTGGTAAAGTGGAACATAGATGGAGTGAGGGAAACAGAATGATATAAGATGAACCACACGCCTGACTTTTTAGATTTGGTGGTAAAATCTCATATATTTTGCATTTATAACAATTAAAGCAGTTTTTCATAATTTCTACAAAGTACATTAAAGTGTCTGGCAAAGGCGTTCATACTTCTCTGTTGTTCATGCATTCTGTCACATGTTACAAATAATACAGTCTTGAAAAATGTGGAGTATCTAACTTTCGTCCCCTTTATTCCAAAGCCCCTAAATAAAATCAAGTTAACCTAGATGCTTTCAAAAGTAACATAGCATATAGAGTCATCTAAAATGGCATTCAATTTCAGTATAAATTTATGTCTTCTCTCAAGGGCCAGAGGTTTGTTAGCAAACATTAGTGAACAGGTACCATCAGTGACACCAAGAACCATTGCAGACAGGTCAGGGAGAAAGTTGAGAAGATTAGAGCACTTTTCATCCATTAGGCTTCCCAAAAAATGTAAAGTATGACAAGGAGAGTATTAACTGGAGCTAATACTAAGAAATCCATGGTCATTCTAGGAAAACTGTAGATATGCATGGCTCAGGTGGGGAAACCTGCTAACATGACAACTATTCTTTGTTCACTCCACATACTTGGATTTAAAGGAGGAGAGACCAAAAGAAAGCCATCCTTAAAGGAAACTCTGAAGAAGATGCCCAGGTTAAAAATGCCCACATGCTAGTAGAAGATACACAGCAGACATCTGAAGAGAGGTGCTCTGGCAAGATGTGACCCTATTTTGCATAGACACAACATG